CCCTGGCAGCGTCAGCTTCCCATCCGCGTTCTGCAAAACACTCCTGTCGCAGCGTCGCTTCACCCCAGCGAGGGAGACGCCGGGTACCCCGGGACCCCACCAGCACCCACCCCATCCCGCACAGCCGCCCGCGTCCCCCCCCACCGCCGCAGCTTCGGTTTCCCCATCAAACCACCCATGCCTGCAGCCAGGGAGGAATGCCACAGAGGGTGAGATGCCACCTCAGGGGCCCTTTGGATGGATACGGGGATCCCAGAGGGATGCAGGGGTCTGCAGCGAGCCCAGCCGCAGCTGAGACCTTGTATTCACCAGGGAAGGAGGTACCTGCAAGAGCCGAGACGCGGCAAGGGGGCCCACAACTGCCTCCTCCATCCCTTGGCCCCAAGGAAAAATAAACACTCGAGCATCCTCACCTTGTCCATCATGGCAAAAATCCGATCCACCCTCTTCTCTGGCGTGTTCTCCTCCTCGGGAAGCTCCACTGTGTTTCCCTGCGGTGGTGGGATGGGACCCGGTCACGCACCCACCTGTGTCCTGCCTGGACGGTGTCCCCGGGAGAGGACACACATTCCGCCACTGCCCCTCCCCACGCCAGGAGAGGGTGCAGAGGGACAGCATTTGTGCCAGAGCCATCCTCAGCAGCCAGATCCGGACCCTGCCCCAGCCACGATGGCCACAACCCCCCACCAAAAAAGCCCAGGGAGGGAATCCGGGGTGTTTCAGCATCCTCCCCGCAGCCCCCCTGCCCGCAGAGCCCAGTGGGGACCCCCAGGGACTGCCCACCCCACATTCCCCCATCTCTTACCACCATCTGATAAATCGCGTCCACAATGTCCAGCATCTCGTTCCTCGTGATGTACCCGTCGTTGTCCAAGTCATAGAGCTTAAACGCCCCTGCAAGCCAGAGCAACGCCGAGGGTCCTTGGGACCGTGGCCGTCCCACCAGACACGCACACCATCACCCCCCACCACCGCCCACCAGTTCCCTCGCCGTGCCGGGGGCTGCGGGGCTGAGCCCACCATGCAGAGAGCACTTACACCTCAGCTTCTCGTCCAGCGTCCCCCGGGAGGTGACCGACAGCGCCTGGATGAACTCCGAAAACTCGATCCTCCCGTCCTGGCAGGGGGAAGGAGGGGGTGAGGGTGCCGCTGCCACCCCTGCCCCGCAAAGTCCCCCCTGCCCATGCGTGCCCGGCGTCGGGTGCTCTTAGAGGGCACATCCAAAAAGGCAACGGGGAGGGAGGGAGCGATGCACGTTTATCTCCAGCAGCGCGATCCCGCCGCTGTGCCCAGCCCGACAGCGAGCATCCCGGCGGGAGCAACTCCGGAGCGCGGGGGGCACCGTGCGGGTGGGCTCTCGGCAGCCGCGGGGGGCACCGTGCGGGTGGGCCCTCGTCAGCGGCACCGAAATATCGCCATTCTCCTCTCTCGCTTGCCACTTCACCGCCTTTTCCCACTTGACTCTCATCGACTAAAATAAGCGCGGGGGCTCGCTCGCTACAGCTGCGCTGCTTTAATTGCACACCCCAGGAAGCGCTGGAGTATTTTCCTCCTCCGGCGCTGCGCAGCCGCATTACTGAACCCGTCCCACCGTCACCACGGGCTCAGCCCCGACCCCCCCCCGGACCATGCCCAAAAATTTACCTTGTTCTCGTCGAAAACATTGAAAACAAAGGTGGCAAATTTAGTTGGGTCGCCGAAGGGGAAGAACTGCTTATAGATCTTCTGAAAGCCGGCGGCATCGAGCTGCCCGCTGGGGCAGTCCTTGATAAAGCCCTTGTACCTGCGGAGGAAGGGCAGAGATGGGCACCAGGCGGGTGTCCCTGCTGCACGCAGCCCCCCAAGCCCTGGGGACCCGGGATGCGGCTCTCCCCGGCGCTGGAGCCAGGAAGGCCCCCGGGTGCTCCCATCGCCCACCCGCAACCTCCCAGCCCCGCAGGACAAGGTCCCTTTGGGCACGGCAGCGAGGGTGGCAGCGGGGACAGCCTGGAGAAGCAGCGAGCGGCACCAGTGACACCGAGCAGTGTCCCCCACACTGCTCCAACCCCGCTGCGAGTCCCGGAGTGGCAACTGAGCCACAACCAGGCTCATGTTGAACATTTTCCAGGACCTGGGTAGGGACGCGGACCCACCACCCAGCCAGGAGCATACGGGAGAGTCTTTAAACCTCCTTTAAAATAAAAAGCCCTCAGCACAGAGTCTCCTCCTGCCAGCCCGGCCATGCTGCAGGCGGAGGTGCCGGAGCAGGCGATGCCTCGCTTGGCCCTGAAGCTGGGGAGCGTTTATATCCCTTGCTCAGACCTTCGGATGCATGCGGCTCCTAAGCAAGAAGCTGCAAACAGAAAGCTTCACCCGAGGGCCAGAGCTGCCCTTCCCCTCCACCGCTCCGCTGTGGCCCCACTGCATCAGGCGCATCCGACCGGCTCTCCAGCATGGAGGTGGCCGGGAAAGCTCCCACTGAGCCACTGTGCCCGGGGTTGGACTCAGGATCCACAGCAACCCCGCAGGCAATTCGCAACGCACCACTTGGTATTCATGTGCTGCAGTGATGCTCCGGTAAAAACCACCAGCACGGCAGCCCGAAGCACCGGGGGCAGCCGAGGCTCCGCACCGGCATTTTTTGCATGACCCCAAGCGAAAGCTGCTTGGAGGAGGCGGGGGGCACAGCGGCGTTACTGCGTCCTCAGGGTGGCACAGCCAAGAGCATCTCCCAAAACCCATCGGCGCTTAAACACCCCCAAAGCCCTTGGTCCCAGCTCCGGGCTGGACCTGGATGCCGCAAAGTGCCGCCCCGGAGGGTGCAGGGGAAGGGGCTCGCTGGCTCTGTGGGTGCAGGGACCACGTGGGGACCACGCGGGGACCATGCAGGGTGCCATGAGCATTACGCAACGCATCGCCCAGATCTGTCAGGCGCCCGCTGCGGCGGTCGAGGGCTGGAGGAGGAGGGGAAGGGGGTGGCGAGGTGGGAAACCGAAGTGCCGGTGACATCTTTTTCACGCTGCTG